TCAGGCTTCCCGCGAATCGAATGTTCAGGGGAAGCAGGGGAGGGGGCGGAGACTTTGGGGAAGGGGCGGAGGCGGAGTTGGGGCGGGGGCGGGGCCGGGGCCCCGTGGAGTGTCCTCCTTTCGGAGGCACAAAATATGGTAACCCTACAAGTGTGGGCAGGCTGAGGGCCAGATCCCCACCCGATGTAAACCCGCGGAGCTCCACTGCAGCCAGCTACGCCGTGGCAAACACACGTAGTCAATCCACAGAACGGGTGGACTGAATCAAGGCCTCCCACCCCACGGCCCGGCTGCAAGGCTGTCCCTGGCAGCGTGCAGCGAAGTGGAAAACGCTACCTGTTCCATCAGTCCCATGGAGAGCACGGGGTAGGCGGTGTAGAACACATTGTAGAGCGCAAGGAACCAGCCCTCATACAAAGGCTAAAGTGGGAGAGACGGGAGAAAGCAATCAGAACAAAGCCAGGAGAGCAACGGCGCATCGGTGCTTTGACCAGACAACAAGAGGGACATAAGCAGAGTCTCATGGGCCCCACAGCCAGAGGGATCTAGAAGTCTGATCCAGTGTTCATTGCAATCAGTACCAAGTCCCAGTGGACTCTGGATGAAACCCAAAGTGCCTGCGAATCTGTAGCAGAATGGAGGCGGTGCACTAGCTTCTGACACATTTACAAAAATGGAGGATTAACTATGAAATTGACGAGACAGGGCGGACAGCGGCCCCAGGGTTGTGTGATCTGAGATTGGTCTGCATTTACTTTATCCTGCTCCTAAACGTGTCATTTTCAATTTGCCGCAGGATGTTGGACTCAAAGGCAGAAGTGGTTGGTAGAAGTTGTCACTGGGAGAGGCGGTGGGTTTCGCCTCTGGGAAGGCGTGAGACGTCGTTTGGCTTTGTGGGATTAGCACTTTAGCTGGATCAGGATTAAGAATGTTGGTACATAAATGGTCATCACTAGGTTTCAGAGATAACGCACCCGTTGAGATGAATGGGGCAGCTCTCACTTCTCCAAGCTATTGTTTTAGACTCCCTGCGGACCTCACTGCATCAACGGGCCCTTAGTTCATGTTTGGGAGGTTTTCTTCATGACCATAAGAGCTAGAAATTTAGCTCAAGGTTTTCAAAGGGACTAGTGGTTTTGGGGGCCCAACCTGAGACCCCCCTCAAAGGAGCCTGATTTCCAGAGCATGGGTGCCCAGCACTTGCTGAAAATCAGGACCCTCTGCAGCGTCCCAACCTGGGCACCCAAAGATCAGGAGTCACTTTTGCAAACTTTGGCCTGATTGTTTTCCAGTGGAAGCTGAGATTCCTAGTGGACAATTCTGTAGCGGATGATGGATGCTACATCAAACTCCAGGGCCACGCAGGGCCCTGGGCACAACCTGGCTTGAATTTCTGTGCCCACCTGGAATGGATTTCAGGGGAGCTTTCACCCCCGGGGGATTTTTCACTGCTGAGCTGTTGCCCCCGGGTACCAGAAAGGGGCACATTACCAGGACAGAGACAAAGGATATGTGTCCACCCTCTAGCAGGTGCTACTGATGCCAGCCTCCGCCATGGCATGACATCCCACCCTTCTGTGAGGAGAGGGAAAGGGCTGGCTGGGGTGGCAAAGGGTAGGAGGGGGAGAGAGGGTGCATGACACGACCGCACCCTCCGAGCCCAGCCAGGGCTGCCGCCTGACCTGGGCCGTGAAGCCGCTGTAGAAAGCGAACCAGATCTGCACCATCATGCCGGCAAAGGTCTTGTAGAAGAAGTAGCGGAGGAACTTGCAGATGCGCAGGTAGGACCAGCGGCCGTGCACGAGCAGCAGGCGTTGCAGGTAGCAGAACTGGGCCAGGGCGTAGTCGCTGCACTGGACAGCCTGCATCCCCTCCTGCCCGCTGATGCCAACCCCGATGTCAGCCGCTGGAGAGAAAGAGAGAGAGAGGCAGGGCTGAAGGGCCTCAGGTGTCACTGGGAAGGGGAAATCAGCCCCGGTCCCGTGGGGTTGGGTTAAATTGCTCCGACTGACCTGTGTCTGCCCTGAGACCTAGCCCCTGCAGGTGAGCTCTGGACCAATCAGCAACGAAAGGGGAACCCCAGAGCCACCATGGATTCATCCTGTGGCTGTAACCTACTGGCAAAGTGGGTGGGCCACTAGAGGAGAACAGCCTACTACTGCTACCAGCTGACAGAGTCACTCCTCTCGCTCGAGTGACAGGGGCCTGGGCTGGGGTGCAGAAGGCTACAGGGTGAAGCCCGGCTGATGATGCGTGGGAGGGGTGCTATGCAGGGAGCTGGAGAGGGGAGGAGCCTGCATGGAGGAGGTGTCCGTGCTGAGCTCGCAAGGCTCCCTGAGCTCACCCAATCCCCGACCCCCCAGCTTGAGGCCTCACTCTTGATCATGTTCACGTCGTTGGCTCCGTCCCCGATGGCCAGCGTGATGGCGCTCCGGTGCCTCTTCACCAGCTGCACTACCAGGGCTTTCTGCTTGGGGGTGACCCTGCAGCAGATCACGGCCTGGCAGCTGGTGGCCAGGTCTACAAAGGCCTCCTCCACTGAGCTGTCTGCCACCAGCTGCGTCTGAGGCTTGCAGCAGGCCAGCCGTGCCCAGAAACCTTCCTTCCTCTTCACCTTTTCCCCAGTGCCCAGGACTTTCTCCTGAGGACAAAGCAGAGACACGTGAGATGGCCTCAAACCAGCGGCTCCCCAGGGGCGAGGGGTGCTAGCCCTGTGCCCGAGCCACACCCCACTTGGCTGGTGGGGAAAGGGGAGGATGATTATGAGAGTCAGGCTAAGGACTGAGAGTTAGGACTCCTGGGTTCTATTCTCAGCTGCGACACCGAGTCTTTCCGCAACCTCCGGAGAGTCGCTTCCCTGCCTCGGTTTCCCCCTCTAAAACAGGGTAAGAATTGCCCACCATAAAGCTGACGGACTAGATTTTCCAAAGTGCCCCCATGATTTAGCAGCATGAGGCCCACCGACGTACACTGGGATATGTGCTCCTAAACCCCTTGGGCATTTTGCAAATTCTCCCCCTCATTCACCAAGCGTTTTGAGACCCTCAGACTGGAGGCACGATAGGAAGCACAAAGTGTCCAATCCACAAGCCACTGCCAGCACCTCCTTTAAATGTCCCTTCAAGACCCCCTCTCTCCTGCTGCCGAGGAGAAATCCACCAGGGGCGGGTGGTTGGAGAGGCTGCTGGACACTTACTTTATTTATCTAATTTTTTAAATGGCTAGTGTCTATAAACATGAGTTAGATTGGCCTCCCTCTTCCCCAGCCCCACCCCTCCGCTCTTCTTAAAGCAGGGCCAGGACCCACGTCTTCTTGTGTGTTCGGAGCATCACCAGCACAATGCGGAGCCTGACTGGATCCGCTTGGTGCTACCGTTATATAAATGTTTAGTAACTATAACTACATTCGGCTTCCTTCCATTCCCCCTGCGGTGCCCGGTGGGGCCAGACCCATCTTCACTTCCAGCCCTGAACTGTTGGCTGGCGTTGCTGGGTGTTGCTAAACAGCTGCTGTGCTGCGCCCCAGAGGGGGCTGCATTTCAGTGGCAGGTGGGTGGATCCTGGGATCACTCGGGAAGGGGAGGCTTTGTAGAAATGACGCAATAACCTTGCGTTCGCCATGGGCCCCACCTCAGAATCCACGCCGGGCACTTGGGGTTGGGTTCCTGGGTTCGATCTCCCCCTGGCTTCGCTTAGGCTGTTTTTACCCCTTGCTTTGCTCTCTGCTGGACTCCAGTGAGATAACTACGGTCCATCTGGCACTGCGCAGCGAAGGGGAGGGAGCGGCAAAGCATCACCTACCAGGAAGTCCCCGGTGACGACTAAGGCCATCTTCCCCTGGCGCGAGACCCCCGCGCACTGCTGGAACCTGCAGAGGCGTTCCCCGCTGCTGCCCAGGTTGTTGGTGCTCACCCAAGAGGCTTCCAGCATCTCACTGTGCAGGAAAGGGGCAGGGAGGGGATGGAACGTGGGGTCAAAGCCAAGGCGAGCCAGGGGCCACCCTGGGGAACGCTGGGCAGCTCGGGGCATAGGCTGCAGAACCTTCTATGCCTACGCCGGGGCTGGAGGTGAAACCCACGCTAGCTGTGACTGTCCCAGGGCAGCCAGGATGGCCCGAGCTGCAGAAGAGACCAGCCACCCAGGTATTACCCAGGGACGGGATCGTACTTGGCCGGCGAGCCCCTCCCACCACTGCAGCGACACCTCTAAGCTTCGCACACGAGCGCCGGCGGAGCCAGCCGGGGTCCGTCTCCCCGAGCTGGGACTTCACCTTCCCGCTCCAGGGCGGTCGTCGGCGTCTGAAGTGCTCCCCTGTGGGAAGGCAGGTGACGGCTGCAGTTCCTAGTGGGCACGATGCCCACATCTCCAGAATCAGCCCCCTGGCTGGCTCGCAGCCCTGCCCTGAACAGGCCGTGCAGACTGAACTCCTAGCCCCTGGGGAAGGGGCGGTTGGGGGTCATGGGGTAGGAGCCCCGTGGCTGCTTTTCCTGCTCATCTTCTGGAGGGGAATAGTGGGCTTTAGTCTCCAGGGGGGCTACGGGTCGAGAGTCAGAGGCACTGGCAGAGCTGTGGAGTGGTGGGGAGCCAAGTGCTGGGCTAGCATAGGGTTACCATACGTCCT